AAACTACTAGGCTAACTAATATAAATTCAGTTTGATTCACATTAAACACAGACAACAGCAGGAATATTAGGCTACTGTCACTTTAAGAGCAAATGCACAGATCTAATTTACTGATACACATGAGTTTACTGTCTCAACTGTTTGTGTTCAGTTAAACGACATCGTTTATTAAGCCCCTTTCAAAGAAAATACACGGATAAAGTGACCCGGGATTGTTTGATTTTGGTTCATTCACACTGCCAGTGATTTTCCGGAATCAGAGAGTGTGTTCACACACAACCCGTAAAGACACGTGACATCGATGGGACATGTAATATCTCAGCCGCGTCGTAAGTTTGCTTATGAGCTGCGATTTCACGCTTGTGCATTTTTTTTCTCTGATTCGATCATAAACTAGCGCATTACGTAGCGTTCCACTAGCTGGCGAACGATCCCGGCTTCAGCGTCATCATTACGACACGGCGTCGATTACGGCTTTTGTTCACACAGGTCGCGTTCCGGGACTGAACACGTCAATGTTACTAGATCCCTAACCCGCCATCGATCCCGGGTCCAGTTTGCGTTCACACAGAAGGCGTTCTGGCAATTTCCCAGGATCAACACGCTGTGTGAAAGAGGCTCTAGTATACTCACTATTTTTTAACATCATTTTGTGTGAATTTGACCACTCAAGTGCAAGACGACGTGAAAGAGAGCTCAGTTTAGTACTCTTCCCACACAGAGCTCCTTTCGCATATTCTTGTGCTTGAATATTTAAATGATCAAGGCTTAAACTTTCGTGACGATGCAGCGCTGGCCCGTCAACTCTCCCGAGCGACGTTTGTCCACAGTCATGCATTGTTAGACTTCATAATAATGTTACCGGACAACTGGCGAGTGACACATTTTCATATACTTTTTGGCACATGGCGATTGTTAATTTTAGGCCCTGATTATGAATATTGCTTTTGATCAATTTAATGCATCCTTGTAGCCTGGGTTTCCCCATGCTGCCTTTGCGCGGCGCGATTTTATTCTCGCTGCTAGGTAGTCTGGTTGCATGGACCAGATTTTCGCCTCAGCGAGGGGACCAATCACAGAACGGGGAGGGAGCAGCAAGACGATGACGACGTCTATGTGACACACCGAAGCAGTTTGTTTATACCTATGGCATACCTGTCAACACTCCCGTTTTTCCCGGGTTTCTCCCGTTTTTTAGCCCTATCTCCCGGACCCCTCCCGGTTTGTTATTTTTCCCGGGAAACTCCCGTAATTTGCATGGCCCAAACTCCTTTATGAATAATCGGACCAATATGTTTGTCTAATGTTGACCAGTTGCCAGATTGTATTAAATGCATTATATTCACACAATCCACAGACCATTTACAATTTCAACCCGTTTGTCACCTCAACCTGGCAACCTATAACCCAGTTGCGCAGTCGCGGAAAGTTTAACCCGAAAGCGAGCCGATAGACATGATGGCAGGTGAAGGTGGTCTCCCCGCAATGAAACTGAAGTACATTTTGTAAAGCGTTGCTTCAGGAAGATTAGGGATAGCTCACAACTGAAGTTATTGCATGCAGAGGCCAGACAGACACACGGAGGCGATTGGCATCTCACAACTCGCACTTTATTCCCAAATCGAACTCGTGTAGCCTAACTGTCTGTCACACGTTCTACCGTCCACATCGTTACTTAATAAACAAAATAAGATAGAAATTAGCATCAAACAGAAATTAGCCGCATACATGGGGTGTTCGCATAGACAGTAAAAGGGGTGTTCGAGGCCCAAGGCACATACAATACAATACTGCCGACAGGTCAACAGGGAGCGCACAGCTCTTAAAGGCCCCCCCCCCCGCGCGCGCCGGAGAAATCTCCCGGATTTTGAAAACCAAATGTTGACAGGTATGGGACCTATGGATCAAACATGGCAGCAGACGCGAAGTTACCTTTAGATGCGGCCTTGGGTATTGTTCTAAGTAGTTTAGAACGCAAATAAATCTCGGACTCATCGTCTTCTTCCTCGTCTAATTTCTTTCGCTCTACATGCGTCATCTGGTATAATTGAAACGATTGGCTATGAGCTACGTACAGGCGCATTTGATAGACATTCGTAGCACCCAATAAACGGCTCTGGGCATTCATAAACCACGCCTCAAATACGAGAAAATGAACATGTGGTTCCCAGACTACGTCTCAATGAGACGTTAGCCAGGCTAGCATCCTTGCTGAATACAAATAAAACATTTGAAAGTAACACCCGAACGTCATTGGATATACTCAAGGTTTGCTTTCTGCAGAAGCCCTTCACAAATATTTATAGTTTCTACAATTTCCGTTGAACAGCAAAACATCCTTCCTGTTCTTTAAATATCTCGTTCCTCATTTCCATCTGTAAGGTTGCTGAAATTACAGGCGAGTGCGTGTCTGTCCGTCTGTGGTCATTTACGCTAAATAAGCACAAGACCGGAAACCAGCGCTGTCACCAAAAATACCGGATGACATCGGTAACACCAGGAGGTTCTGCTCTGCTTTGAGTCTTGACTCCTGGAGGATCCAGTGCTCTTCGTTTTATCCTCTTCATCTCAGAGACTCATAAGTGCTCCTGAACGCCACGCTGCATTAAGAGCTTCATTTATCAGACCGTCATCCAGAGAGAGCTTATGAGATCTTATTCTCCTCTTCCTCTGCTCTCTCTCTCCGTTCTCAGGTCTCCTAGCAGATTCACATCTGTAACACTGTTCTCATGGTCCATAACTAGAGCTTTTCTCTGTCTGTGGAGTGTCTTCTGTCCTTTGTCTTCTATTCTTTGTGCTTGTTGACGACGTGCAGCATTACTGATTGAATCATCTCATGCTGTATATAAAATACTGTTCAAAAGTTCTTTGACTTTTATTCATTAAGGACACATTAAATTGATCAGTAAAGTAACATTAAAGACATTTAGAACGTTCTAGAATGTTAGAATTAACTAAAAAAATTAAGTATCACGGTTTCCACTAAAATATTAAACTGTTTTAACATTTTCAATCATAAATGTTTCTTGAGCATCAAATCATCATATTACGTTTTTCAAATTCTAAAAATATTTCACAATATTACCATTTTTACTTTATTTTTCAGCCTTAATGAGCAGAAGAGACTCAAAATTATATGTTTTGAACAGAAGTTGAGTAAAGACATTTAGAACGTTCTAGAATGTTAGAATTGACTTTTCAACACTGTTAATAATCATAAATGTTTCTTGAGCATCAAATCATCATATTAGAGTGATTTCTGAAGGATCATGTGACTCTGAAGACTGGAGTAATGATGCTGAAAATTCAGCTTTGATCACAGGAATAAATTACAGTTTAACATACACTCACCTAAAGGATTATTAGGAACAGCTGTTCAATTTCTCATTAATGCAATTATCTAATCAACCAATCACATGGCAGTTGCTTCAATGCATTTAGGGGTGTGGTCCTGGTCAAGACAATCTGCTGAACTCCAAACTGAATGTCAGAATGGGAAATAAAGTTGATTTAAGCAATTTTGAGTGTGGCATGGTTGTTGGTGCCAGACAGGCCGGTCTGAGTATTTCACAATCTGCTCAGTTACTGGGATTTTCTCGCACAACCATTTCTAGGGTTTACAAAAAATGGTGTGAAAAGGGAAAAACATCCAGTATGCGGCAGTCCTGTGGGCGAAAATGCCTTGTTGATGCTAGAGGTCAGAGGAGAATGGGCCGACTAATTCAAGCTGATAGGAGAGCAACTTTGACTGAAATAACCACTCGTTACAACCAAGGTATGCAGCAAAGCATTTGTGAAGCCACAACACGCACAACCTTGAGGCGGATGGGCTACAACAGCAGAAGACTCCACCGGGTACCACTCATCTCCACTACAAATAGGAAAAAGAGGCTACAATTTGCAAGAGCTCACCAAAATTGGACAGTTGAAGACTGGAAAAATGTTGCCTGGTCTGATGAGTCTCGATTTCTGTTGAGACATTCAGATGGTAGAGTCAGAATTTGGCGTAAACAGAATGAGAACATTGGATCCATCATGCCTTGTTACCACTGTGCAGGCTGGTGGTGGTGGTGTAATGGTGTGGGGGATGTTTTCTTGGCACACTTTAGGCCCCTTAGTGCCAATTGGGCATGGTTTAAATGCCACGGCCTACCTGAGCATTGTTTCTGACCATGTCCATCCCTTTATGGCCACCATGTACCCATCCTCTGATGGCTACTTCCAGCAGGATAATGCACCATGTCACAAAGCTCGAATCATTTCAAATTGGTTTCTTGAACATGACAATGAGTTCACTGCACTAAAATGGCCCCCACAGTCACCAGATCTCAACCCAATAGAGCATCTTTGGGATGTGGTGGAACGGGAGCTTCGTGCCCTGGATGTGCATCCCACAAATCTCCATCAACTGCAAGATGCTATCCTATCAATATGGGCCAACATTTCTAAAGAATGCTTTCAGCACCTTGTTGAATCAATGCCACGTAGAATTAAGGCAGTTCTGAAGGCGAAAGGGGGTCAAACACAGTATTAGTATGGTGTTCCTAATAATCCTTTAGGTGAGTGTATATTCACATAGAAAACAGCTGATTTATATTGTAATAATATTTCACAATTTTGCTGTTTTTACTGTATTTTAGTTCAAATAAACACAGCCTTGATGAGCAGAAGAGACTCAAAATTAGATCTTTTGAACAGAAGTTGTGTGGGACTCGCCTGATTTGACTCATGTTTTATTCCTCAAGTATCCACACACACACAGAGCTGTGAGGTATTCTGGGACGTTCTCCAGATAAGCGTCCAGCTTGTTTCTCCTCCAGGTCTTTGCGTGACGTTCCTCCATATGTTTCCCATCAGGCTTGTTTAACCAAATGTCAAACATGTCCTCTGGTCCGTCTGACGGATGCTTCGATGTCCTTCCTGTGTTTTGTTGTTTTAATAAGAATGATTTCCCTGTTTGAGTCAACTGATAATAACATTTTTCCGTCTATCTTTTGCAGGATTGTCCTCAGATCCTTCCGTCCACACAGATCTACGTCCCCGTGGGCGTCCCGAAGCCGATCACGCTGTCGGCCCGAAACCTTCCTCAGCCGCAGTCGGGTCAGAGGAACTACGAGTGTGTGTTCCACATCCAGGGCGAAACACACAGTGTGACGGCGCTGCGCTTCAACAGCTCCAGCATCCAGTGCCAGAAAACCACTGTGAGTCAAGTCACATTTATTTATACAGCGCTTTCTACAACACAGTGTTTCAAAGCAGCTTTACAGAGATAACAGGAAATAAGTTTGTTTGTAGAAGAAAATAGCGTCACAGTCCAGCTTAAGTGAGTTCAGTGATGACTCATTTGGCTGTAAAAAGGTTATTAATTTAGTTAATTAATAACTGTGTGTGTTAATTTAGTCAAACACACCGTCTCACGTCACGCTGATAAACGCTTTAAAGGATAGCTGCTTATTATGACATAAATATACGAGGTTTGGTACACAACCATTCAAGAGTTTGGGGACAGTATGTTTTTTTTGTTGTTA